TCGCGTCCATCGCCCGATTTGGTCTCCTGAAACTGAAAACAAACACCTTTGTTTTTTAAGCGACCGAGTCGGGCGATCGGCCCGATCCGCTCATCCCATCGGTAGTGGGCACCCCATTTAATTTGATCTAAATCTAGGTTTGAGAGAGCCGTTCGCATAGCCACAGGCTATTTTTATAAGTCAGAGGAGCATGCCCGCCACTCCCCCTACAACCCCCCATGCTAAAAACAAGAGAAATATTACTAATTTAAACTGCTCTTAGAAAAATAGTGAAACATCTCTCGCTCTCTTTCAGATAAAACGATACACTGAGAATTTTAAAGTCATCAATAATAATCTAATTACTAACTCTGTCCTAGGGCCAAAACTGGCAAATGTCACCTCGTCTTGTGAGCGCTATTTTTATTCTAGAATCTAGTGACGTCCGTTGACAAACTTACCCAGATAGAGAAGCTCTTGTGTAATTCCTTTGCCAATGCCAGTACCTCCACCGGTGACAATAGCCACTTTGTTCTTGAACAGAGAAGGTCGGAACAAACTAGTGACTGCTTTGATGCCTCCAGATGCCATTTTATAATTTTGATGTTATAGGCCTAGATATCAGCAAGATGTTTTTACTCAACTTAGACTTAGATTTACTCAACTGCTTTTTCAACAAAACACAGCTGCAGCTCAGATAAAATGAAGCCCTAGAATCTACCTGCCACCATCAACAGCACACTACTATCACATTCAGCAGTACTTGAGGTATTTTGTCAGCATGAGTGTCCAAGTTAAGGTTAGCGAAGGTGAAGGTTTTTGGCCTCCTATCCTAAGCAGCTTACTATATTTTTTTTTTAAGATTCTAGATTCTAGACCATCTAAATAGGAAAAGGCCTACCGGCTATCGGTACTAAAACTGAAACTAGACTACAATCAATGTCCAATGGAATTCTTAGGGCGCGTGTTGCGTTTGAGTTTGAGGCTGATGCTTCAATTACTGTGCAACCTTCAGTGATTTTCTCTACTAGGCCTACAGTGCAGCAAACTTTTGGCTCTTCAAAACCTCCAAACGGTAAGCAAAAAACAGAAAGAACGCGGGCCTAACACTCCGGAACGGTCACCAAGTTTTTGCAGGCAATGAACCACGACTCTGTCCTCTATGTGTTGTCTGTCACTTTGTCGTCGCGACACGCAGCAAACTTATTTCGCCTTTTTGTCTCGGGATTCGTCGTTTCGTAAAATCGAACTTTTTCCATCTCAGTTTTTTTCACCTATCATCATCGTCAATCGACAGATCTGCGACTGACATCAGCTATATGGTTTACAACTCATTATTTTGCTCAGATACTCTTGAAAAAAAAAAAGCTACCGTATCCTTTAGGCCCTTTGCCTCTCACTCCTGTAAGGCTCTCCAAGAAGTTGCTCTGGGTCTTTCCTGCCTCGTTTGCTTTCAATTCTGCCAGTGGATGTTCAAGCTCAAGGCCCTTACTTATGTCTATTGGAGTGTCCCAGAGAGCTGCATCAAATAGTCTCTTCCTAATTGTTCTTATTAGCGAGCGGCCCTGGGGGGCTTCAAGTACCGTGCCACCTCATCATTTGATAAGGCGAGTACTTTATGGTCTGTCAGAGTCAACGTGACAAACAAAAGTGAAATGTGAGAAAAGATCTGTAACATTGACACTAATTAATGCTTATGTAACGCTGATTCCCACCTAGATCTAAAAATGGACATAAAATAGGCCTAACAAGGAATAAACTCTCTGCAGTGGCTATGGAAACCAACCAATGATTATAATTAAGTTTTTGTTCCCTCGTCGATTTCTTTTTTTTTTTACTGCAAGGATTACCATCTACCACACGTACTAAATGTCGTCTTAAAGAGCCTTCGCTTTCTTGTACTTCACACTACGAGTTTTCTTGAATAACACAATCTACAATGTAATGTATAATAAATTGATTTGTAAGAAAGCTGGTTCGATCCTGTAGCGCCAACGGAGGTCATAGTTCAAATTCTCTACAGTCTCCGAGGTCACATTGTAAGCTTTAATGAAATGACAGATTGCATTAGCACCCTGTCTAGCTTGCAAGCTGTATATAAATAGTACTACAATTCTTTCCTTGTTTTTTTTTCTGTCCGTGTGGGGGATTGGAGGGTGTCACTCAGGCGTGGTTCGTCCGTAGAGCACGGTCGTGAAGTGCCGCCCAAAGTTTTTACAGGTTCTATAACGTATTTCAGTGTCTATAGCGCCTAAAAATATCTACCATGCCATGCCAAAGTCCACGCGCTTTAGCTAAACGTAATAGGATATTCAACAGTGTAACCTGGCCTATAAATCGCTCTTGGGGATTACCAAAGCGATGACGACACTCGTAGCAAGTTTGGCGGTACATTAATATTAATAAGACTGAAATGTGCTCCTGCCGAAGAGTGCCGAAACATAGCCCACGGTAGGCAGTCTAAAAATACACGCGATAGACCGTACGCTATTCTTTGTCAATATTATGTGAGCCCCGGAGCAATCCAGTGGAGTGCTCAAGTGAATTGTGATTGGTTCATTGTCTGTCTTGCCACTAGCCTATTTTAAGCGACTCTGTGACCGTGAACCTGGGGGAGGTGAACGTGACATGCTTAAGAGTTGTGCCTGCCTTTGAATGGTTTTGTAGTGGAGAAGTGAAAGTTATTACTTGAGTGTTCAGTTCCAATACAGGATGAACGAAATTGATGTTTAGCTAACAAACAAATTTAGTACTAGAAATTAAAGAGACAAGTAAAAAGAATGAAAATAAACGCACGAGGTCCTGATCCCTCACCAAAACCCGAAGATCCTAAAATTATACACTGTCTCATTTATTATGCCCTTGGCTATCTTCAGCATGCGACAGCTTTAATTGTGCACGTCCACCTTTTAGCCCCACGAGCCGCCCCTGGTGTCACTGGGAGTTTCTTCTTCTTTTGTCTCCCTATTGTTTCAGTCTTTTAGTTTTAGTACGAGTTTTAAGACACTTGCATTACTTGCAACACTATACGGTCATATACAGTGGAAACCATAATATATAACAGGCCCAGTAATCAGGGACGAAGGCTGACTTGTTTGACAGGGTAATCAAAGTGAAACGGGACCAGATATGGCCTGTAGATATCACACAAGAATCTTACTCGAGGCGGCGACTCTGAGTTGTGAATGAAAACAAATCCGGAATTCATATTGTATGTTCAACCGCCAAAATAATCGGGAAAGTGTCTTTTTAAATATCAGTTCCAACTAAAATTAAATTTAACTTTAGATGTAAACAAAAAGCAAAGAAGCAGAGATGCCAGTACCAGATCTATATGTTATAGATCTACCAGTAAGTCTAACTCTTTGGTAGAACATGACAATTATCATTTTTTTAAATTTCACATTTGGCTGTTTTTTGTTAGCCTTTCGCGGCCAGAAGCTGGTGTCATAATCGAGGTCACGATCTGATTATAGGACGGTAAAAAGTCGAGGAAAAAAAACAAGCACATGCAGCAGTCAAGAGATTATTAGGAGTTAGTTCCCCTCACATTTGTGAGGTAGACTCGACCAGCGTTAGTTAGCATAAATAATCAGGGCTTCAGATTGATTATAACTGTGGCCCCAAAGGGGTGAACAGGGTATATGTGGCAAACAAACAGCTTGGACTGCTATGTACATGTTCCCTTCAATTCTATTAATAGACTCTTCCAGACTCACTTTAAGCTTACTTAATCAAAGCTTGCGACTGCTTATGGAGTGGCCCGAGAGGGGTGAGGAGGCTATTTCTGTGGCCGTGAAACCGTTTTGAATGTTAGGCATACTGTTCATTGTTGATTACGAACGTCTTTTTACATTTAATTTAAGAGGTTTACGTTTAAGGATGAATTTGACAGCGACAATGTTTCAAAATTAGGAAGGGAAGCAGTGATTATTTGATTATATAGACGCTTCGCCCCTGCCGGTAATAACAGGGATCCGGTAATAATTTTTTTCAGATCCTCGTTTTTTTCGTACTCTTTGTCTCTATTAAAAGTTATCGGCAATAACAGAGCCTCAGCGGAGTCCAACCGGTTATAGCAGGGACAAAGACTCGTTAACAACGAGTAAAAAGTAAGTGAGAGAGGAGTAACACAGTGATGGAGCAAGCCCACGCAAGCACACGCAGCGTGTGAAGCCAGAGTCTCAGAGAGGGCTGAAGTGTGCTGCAGACCACGATCTAGCCGAAACCTAGCAACACGCACGCGTAAGGGCAAAAACATAGAGAATGCCAAAACTTAAACGGCTGAAGATCGACGCTTACAGGCGCCAGTAGGTGTCAGCTTGACCCCACATGTTGGACGTCTAAGGCGTAGACCTAGACATAAGAAAAAAATTACACCACAACACAGCTGGTATTTATGAAGCATTTATTTGGGGATTTAAAAAAACCCTCGAAATTCCTAAAATATTGCTTAAAATGTAATTCTGCTCTGTAAATACCCTAATTTGACGACGCTGATTAAAAAAATGTAATTAGTTTTTGTCTACCGTGAAACACCAGCTCTGAAATTACCATTTAAAATTGTCCCCAGTCCAGTCGGGTGACGTCACGCAAACCGCTCAACCCGAGTTCGCGACGGCGAGAGTACAGCATTGAGAGTTCGCGATCTCAGTGCTTTCTTGTCGTATCTCCATTTTAATAACAGTGAGAACAGTTCACAACAAAGAGTGAGCTTAAGGAATGTTAAAAATGGAGATACGACAAGAAAGCACTGAGGTCGCGAGTTGACAGGGAGGCGCCCTTCCCAGCTTTTCGGCGTAATAAGAATTAAGTTTGGATTCCGATAAAGCCGACAACTCCGATCCCAGCCTAAAGCCGCCTCCAGTCTGCCAGCTCTAAGTGGGGCAAGTTGGAAATCATAAGGGAATTTTTATACCTATCGGCGCTTACTGAGTAAGTCTCCGAAATCGGCGTTCTCTATGTTTTCGACCTAATGTGTCATGCGCAGGCCTGCCGCATGCAGTGGCGGTGGGTAGTGAAGGGCTCACGGGCTTGAACTTGAGCCCCTACCCCCTCCCCACCCACCACCCCCAACTCTATCCCAAAGTAAATGAAAGTTTCTCTATAATGAAATATCAGTTGAAACCGTTATGACAGCACGCAATGAACACAGAGTGATCAACTTGGTGGCTTGCTTGCTTATCCAATCACTGTTGTTACCGCCTACAACTATAGTAACCCAGCAGCCAATCAAATGTCTTTAGAGCTCAGCGAAGATGAGCCCTTTTCCCACAGCCCGTCTTTAATGAAACTCTTCTTGTAAAAAGGTAGAAGATTGAGGAAAAATAATACTGTACCCAGGGCTCACGCTCTCCTAGCCCTGACAATGGGGTGAAAGTTTACGACACACTTTCCCCCACTTGTTGGGTGCGTTCAACTTTCTCGACTACATAGCCTAATCCAGCTCATAGAAGTAATTTAAAAAGTGCTGAGATTTAACAGTTATAAATCAGGTCGAACTACTTTTAAGGCAACATTTTCATCACACTAAAACTAATTAGAGGAAATTTGGAGGTGAATCGGCTTCGTCCTCACCATCAACAAGCATTTAGGGCAGCATACTCCAATGGAAAGTTTGCTCTGGATCGAAAGAAGAAAAGAGATGACTACCCGATGCAGATGCTGTGGACCAAGCTCTTCTGATATGGCTAAGGGGGCAAGGAGAAAGTCGGTGCCAAAACCACAGTTCATGGGTACTTGTGGCAAGGGAAACTACCCCTGAATAAGTACAGCTGGATATGTCCACAAATGCTTACTTTTCTTGCACTTGTGATTTAACAGGGATCAGATATAGCAGGACTTTTTCTCTATTCCCACCATCCCTGTTATACATGTATCAGGTTTTCACTGTATTAAGTGCCGAAGATCATAGGAGGTGTTATAAGGGAGTAACAGACACAAAAAAGGAGTAGAGATCAGGGTGATAGATGTTTGATAGGAAAGGAGCAAACCACACAAGAGCACCTGCCAATCACCCACTGTTTCTCTGTCTGTGTGGATTGTAGGAGGGTGACACTTGCACAAGGTCCTACTTTTTCTTTTCCCTACAGACAGACAGATACACCAACACTACGGTACTATGAACCACAGCTATCACCACAAACACACACAGACAGACAGACAGATACACCAACACTACTATGAGCCACAGCTATCACCACAAACACACACAGACAGACAGACCAGCGTTAGAGGTTTGATGGCGCTCGCAACTGCATAAGGTCATATGACTATGAGTAAAATGAGCGCCAGAAGATTAGAGGTGTTACAAGAGTAAGAGAGTAACAAACATAAAAAAGAAGGGGAGATAAGGACGATAGATGTTTGATAGGAAAGAAGGAACAAACCACACCAGAGCACCCTCCAACCACCCACAGCCAGCATTTTTATGGACCTTGCAATGCAATAGGCCTATAGGATCATAGAAGTGCTGAAGATGAGAGGTGCTGGTGCTGCATTACAAGAGAATTTACTATGTACCGTACCACCACAGACACACACACAGACAGACAGACTGGAATGTATGTAAGCCCAGCCTAAAACAAACTACAGTACATAACGGATAGCTTGAATTCGTCGAGACCAGCCTCCATAGTTCTTTCAGTAAGAGTATTACGGCACTTGCAACAGAATAAGGTCATATAAGTGCCGAAGAATAGATGTGTCACAAGAGAGTATCAAACACAAAAAAAGGAGAGATCAGGACGATAGATGTTTGATAGGAAAAAAGGAGCAAACCACCAACCACCTCGGTAGTTCGAGGGATATCTTATAATGAAAAAGAAATTTTTTAAAACTAAAACAAACCCCCCCCCCAAAAAAAAAAACCAGGATGGCAGGCACAGTTCGACGGATGCGTGATTTTGAGTCCTCTGTGTTCAACCTATCCGTGTTATACTGTAAAACTTTTAACAAACTCACAGCGTGCACCATTTGAGAATTCAGGATGATTTTTATTTATATGTCGTTTTTCAATACATGCACATGTACAGTTGTTTTTCAATACACACACACACATGTACAGTCTGTCAATACACACACATGTACACGCACCACTGGTCAACAAAGCTGATCTGGAATTTATCCTCCCAATTCTTTCCCGACATAAACATGCACATAATATAAAGGAAAAGAAAAAAAGAAAAACTCACGAGAAACAAAAAAGAAATTCATCATCACAAATGACATAACCCTTTCCCCAAGGCAAAAATAAATAGGAAAAAAATTGTGATTTTCTCATATAGATCTAGGTGCTTTACGCCCACAACAATACTAACAGTTTAGATGATTTAACTTTAACTCTGCCTGTCGTGGCCAAGCACGGCTGAAAGGGTATACAACAACCCAAAAGAAAGGCCGAGAGACTGGACAAAATCCCCCCCCCCCCCTTTTTTGCGACAACGAAGTGCCCGCAGAGGCCAGTAGAGAACCCCGAAACAAAGAGAGAAAAATTTCAAATGAAAACAAAGAAAGCACACACACACACGGATTGACAAAGCCTCTCAGCCATCGCTCGACCTCCAACAAAAGAAACACACAACCCAGACCACTCACACTAGAGTCACACCATCAATACAAGATCACAGAGAGAACGAAAATGAGAAAGAATGAGAGACAGACAGACAGATGGAGAACACAAATAATGGAGTCCACAAGCACTGAAATCATTCAGGGGGCCGCCAGGTTGTCATCCCATCTCTTTTTTTGTTTTAGTTAAGAGCAAGAACTTTACAGCACTTGCAACACAATTAGGTCATGTAAGTGCAGGAGATTAGTAGTAGTAGAGATGTTGCTGGATGTTTTGGTAAGTGTTTTAAGGCAATTTCAACACAACTAGGTCATAAGTGCCAAGATTAGAGGTGTTACAAGACAGTAACAAATACACAAAAAAAAGGGGGGGAGAGATATAGACGATAGATGATAGGAAAGAAGGAGTAAACCACACCAGACCACCCACCAACCACCCACGGGAGAAAGTTGACTACCGGTAGAGTAAAGTCCACTGATGCCACAATCTGCTGGACCGCCAGACTTTCTTGGTTTAGAGAGGCTGATCAAATGGAGAAAACATATTTTTTAAAAATCAGGGACTTTATTTAATTTCAGTTTACAGCTGTTTTCGGGTTTGAGCTTCAATAAATATAAGGACAAAAAAAATGAATAACGGTTCCATAGTGCAGGGAAGAAACAGAAACCAAAGACAGATCGGTAGAAACAACAGAGGGAAAGGAAAGAAATAGGACCAACAGTGGAGCCCTCGAAGGGAGATAAGCGCACTCTCATACTCTCTCTCATACAACACAACAAAGGGAGATGAACCATCTCGCAAGTAACAAAAACACCATTCCCAAATAAGCAATAAACAAAAGCGCACCCATATCTGAAAAAGAAAAGAAAGTATTATAATATTGGTGGAAAAAAAAAAAATGCGTTGCTGAATGGTTTAACGAGCTTGAGATAAAAATGTGATATATATACATCAGGTACTTCTGGAAGGGAGAGGTCAGACCACAGGGATGGAAACTGATCAGTCTCAAATTTACTGAACTTTTCGCGGGCTATACAAATTTGGAAAAATACACTTATTCAATTGTAGATTAGTACACATAACATAGTAGAATGACTCGCCGTTGAAAATAGGAAGATGGGCATCAAGGAAGGGAGGGGGGATACCACGTACGGAAAATGACAAGAGCAAATCAAAATTACCGGGACTTCAGTAGTAAATTTACGGAAAATTTCCATCCCCGAGACCAGAACACTAACACACAGGCGACAACCCCTCCATGACCAACAATACCCGGTAGGCCTACAAGCTTTTCCCAACAATCCCCTCTAAACATCTGAGTCTCCAGAACCCCAGTAGACTTAGATTACGCTAGGATCTGACCCTGGCTTTGTTGGAGTCGAGATGAACACACCAACACAATAAATAACGGTCATTTAGTGTTTGAGTAAAGAGAAGAAACATCGAAACAATAATGGTCATTTAGGGCTGGGAAAAAATCAAGACAGACACAAAATCAACAGGGGGAAAGTAAAGAAGTAGGACCAACCAGTGCCGCCCTCCAACCACCCGCCTGACCATGGCAAAGAAACACGTCTGTGTTGCAAATATGCGCTTGTAAAAAATGTGTATTTTCATACCATCTACAATTAGACGCACAAATATTGCAAACAAACCTGTGCACTTCTATGTCATTTATGTAAAGTTGCTTACGGTCAAAGGAAATGGAATTCAAGATTTTACCCAAATATGACCGGGGTTCTTCCCATCAGCAAAAGAAATCGGAGAACTCTGACGTAATCCGAGTACTTGGCAAAAATCTGAGACAGACAGTTTTACAGCACTTGCAACACAAATAGGTCATGTGAGTGCCCAAGATCAGACGTGTTACCAGAGAGTATCCTACCAGGAACAGAAGGGAGGAGAGAAGAGGTCGATAAACGTTTGATAGGAAAAAAGAGGCAAACCACACAAGAGCACCCACCAACCACCCTCACAGAGACTGAGGGAGAGCATTTATTAACTTTGATTTCATTGTTAATTGTAAAAAAAAAATTAAAAAAAGGTTTCAAACCCTCATTGACACAGCTTTAGATCACTTGGGAGGCAGGTTCCTTCAACATCTTCCACCTTGCCTGTCGGGGCTAACTCAGAGGTAGAAGTAGAACTTTCCAGAGACACCCTCCGTCCACCCACACAGGCAAAAGAAACAACAGAGAGACCAAAGAAGTAGGATGTACCGGTGACACCCTCCAACCACCCTCACACACACTCATTTTTTTTACGGGTGGCATCATGGTGAAATCAAGACACTTGTCAAAATAATAAAAGAAAAAAAGAAGGAAGAAAATTTTTTTCCCACCTGTCGGGCAATTTTTATTTAATTTTTAATTCGCCTCAACATCTTTTATGTCCACTTAAAAAAACATTTCAGAGTGAATATTACGGAAAAATGTTGATCAAAGGCAAAAAAAAAAGAAGTAAATTTGCAGTTTCCAAGGACACAACAGCTTTGGAAATCATCAAACTTTGGAAGCCATTTTCTCGCTAATTTTACACCAGGCAACCCCCACCGCCTTGGCTCACAAATATCTCAACTTCTTATCAAGAAAGATGGATTATTTTCATCAAATTCAAGACAGATGAACAAGCTTTAAGATGATACCAATAATTCCTTATGCCCAAAATAGACGAGCGCCTGATTCCACCACATCGCGACAGCAGTCCCCATATCGATCAGCCTTCACACAGTCCCATTCACACACACACACCAGCACACACACTACCACACATCGCAAAGTCTTTTTACACACACAAACACAGCGAGCATGATTTCTTGTCTGCGCGTACACCCACCCACACACACACATGCGCGCAGCGAGTGCTTCCGTCGTAAATGACAAACATGCACAGAACACAAATCTGCAGCAACAGCAACAGCAACAACGACGATGACACCACACCACCACAGCGACGACCGCCACCGCGTCCACTACCACCACAGCGGCCGGCCTCCTCCATCTATCCCAGGTCTACCGTGCGGTCCTCCGTCAATCCTGCAGGGCGGAGAACTTGTTCTCCAGGGTGAGGTTAACTCCCTTCCTGTGCGCCGGGTGGTCGATCACGTCGGAGGATCCAGAGCTGCTGTACGGGCTGGAGAAGGGGGGGGGGGGGCGGGTTTGGACAGGGGGAGAGAGGACACAAGGAATGTTTTAGTTTTCTTAGTCAAGTGAGTGGCATTTCATGAAATTAAAAAAAAATAATTTTTTAATAAATAAATTTTTAAAAATTAAAAGGGAGTGCTTATTTAGGCCACATATGGCCTAAATAAGGTAAGGGAGGGTTTTTTAGCTTATTTAGGCCACACATGCTCAAACTACCCTTTTCAGGCAACTGAGTTCTTTCCACTTTCATAATGGTGCACCTTTCTCATTTAGTACGGTTTTGTCTCAGTGTACAACTTATAAATCATAACCATAATGAATATGACAATGACAATGACAATGACGACAATGACAATGACAATCTTTATTCATCTCGCAGGGAGAAATTTGTCTTGGTCGTTAACAATGGCAGTAGACGTTACAAAAGTTAGACTTAAAGGTGCACTCACGCAAACGCACAACAAGACAGGACATTATGCCAAGTAAATACATGTCTCACGGGCTGGGACAACCCGGTCCGTAACACATTCATTCTCTCTCTCTCTGTTTCATTTGTAGCACTGTGTGTTCAGTAACCTCACTGCAGTTGGTACGAATGAATTTCTATATCTGTCTGTTCTTGCTTTTTTGGAAATGTATCGTTTACTGCGGGTCGATAGTTGAAATTCCGATGTCAGTGGGTGGCTATGGTCACTAAGCATTCAGATATTCAAAGTTACTTAGGTCTCTACCAACTGTTCTTGATGCCTTTTTTATCAACTTATTTAGTTTTATAATGTGCTGCCTTCCCAGATTCCAAAATTTATCAAAGTTTCTATTGTGGTGGTGTAGAAAATCTGAAGGATGGATGGATTCAGATTGAAAGACTTTAGTTTCCTCAGAAAGTACAGCCTCTGATTTACTTTTTTAACGATATTGTTTACGTGGTTTTGCCATGTAAATTTGTTGTCTATTGTAAGGCCAAGATATTTGTATGAATCCGTGATTTCAATAGTTTCTTGTTCAATTACGAGTGGTGGGATTGTTGGTTTTTCTCTTCTAAAATCAAAAATCATTTCCTTTGTCTTTCAAAGGTTCACTTTTAGAAAATTATTGTAAAGAACAAAGCACAATACGCAAAATTTTACTCAATCCCAATGGTTTGAATGAGGGCCAGATTTTTCCTTCATGGAGGGGCAAAAGCTAGGCTACCATTTTGGCACACTTTGGTCAAGTGAAAAGGTCAAATCCTCCGAATGGACTTCCGGGTTAAATTTGGGGTATAAAAAGTGTGTACACTACGTGGCTGAGTCAAAGTTACACTATCTTTGCCTGAGTGACACTCTCTCGTACTGTCTCGTAGTAGTACATGTAGGCTAGTAGGCCTAGTAGTAGTAGTAGCAAAGATCGTGTAGAGAATATTTGGTAGTAGATTCTATCTAGTAGGCAGTTTAGTGAACGTGCTTGCAGCAGGGCGAATCGGCCTCGATAAGCCCTGTATACTTTTGTGATCGGCCACGAAGCCTCGTGTTTTGATGGGTCTAGATCTAGATCTAAACAACTCAGTGTTATTCGCACTGCCACATCCGACAGGCCTAGATCTACATCTTTTTAAAAGGAAAAGAAAGATCATCAAAATAGTTGAATTCGCGTGAAAATCGATTCGGTAGAACTAGAACTATTAAAATTTGCTTCTGAAAACAAGGCAATTTTTATACGAAAGCCATTTTTATAACTCGATGAAATAAAAACTACTGGCTGTGTACTGTGTTATTCTGTATAAAAATAAATTATGAAACTTCAGGACGTATTATTATTTTCCAGCATCTTTTGACGCCTGAGCTGTAGAGGTTGAAGTTTTCACAACACTAATAGATCTAGTAATAGGGTTAGATAATAGGGCTTTCCGTAAAAAATGCATAAATCTACAAAAGCCGAACCACCGAATCGACCGGGCACCTCGCTCTCCCCTGCACACTGTGATAACGTGTTGCTTCGGTATCGCATTATTCAACTATTAATACGTGCGGCTATGGCAATTGGGATGTACTGACTGACAAAAAATTCAGTTTTGTTTTTATTTTACCATATATTTGACTTTAATAGTGCAGGCGATAGCAAGATCTAGATTCCCTGTCTAGAATCAGTAGTAGCAGGCCTATGCTAGAAGCAGCCAGAGAGCCTACAACTGCTAGATCTAGATCTAACTTATTATTGCTATGCCTTTGGGCTTTGGAATTGAAATAAAACGAATTGCTCAGTTCTAGTTACTTTTAGATTCAGCAAGTAACTGTATTTCCAGAGTCAATAATAACAAATCTGAGCATAACAATCACTTTTACTTTTATTAGAATAATTAGATCCAACTTTTTTTTCTAAAATCTGTTTTGCGCAAACTTAAGATTTTCTCTACTTGTAGAGCACAGAATTTACATTGTAAGCCTCTGCTCAGTCTTTTAGTATACGGTACATAATAAAATACACACACACACACACATATATATATATATATATATATATATATATATATATATATATATAGAGAGAGAGAGAGAGAGAATATATATATATATATATATATATATATATATAGAGAGAGAGAGAGAGAGAGAGAGAATATATATATATATATATATATATATATATATATATATATATACAGAGAGAGAGAGAGAGAGAGAGAGAGAGAGAGAGAGAGAGAGAGAGAGAGAGAGAGAGAGAGAGAGAGAGAGAGAGAGAGAGAGAGAGAGATCTATATAATCATTTTATGTTGTTTTCGGGATATTTTTAAAATTCTTTTTTTTCAACATGTCATAAAATCAAATTGTGCCATTTTCTTTGAAAAGAATAGCATTAGCAGTGGACTTTTTAGACAGCGAGTCTGATTCAATATTTAAAAAAAAAAAAAGCTAATCAATGAAAATTGCAAATTGATAATAGTTTAGTCTTGTAGAGGATAGGTGGACTCCGGGGTCTGCAGAGCGAAATACTAGGTTTTAGGATGTGAACCCCGGAGTCACCGTAGTGAAATAATGTTTGGTTTAAGTAAGGATTGGTGGACCCCGGGGTCAACGTAGTGATAAATAAGCAGGTTTAAGGTGGACCCCGGGGTCTACCTAGCGAAATACTAGGTTTTAGGACAGGTGGACCCCGGGGTCACCGTAGTGAAATAAGTAGGTTTCTTTAAAGATTGGTGGACCCCGGGGTCAGCGTAGTGAAATAAATAGGGTTAATTTTAAAAGGATTGGTGGACCCCGGAGTCACCATAGCCGTAGAGGAATAAGAAGGTTTAATTAAGGCTTGGTGGACCCCCGGGACACCTTGATTAAACCTACTTATTTTACTACAGTGACCGCAGGTTCCACCTATTCTAAAAACCTAACTAGTATTTCGTTAGGTAGACTCTGGGGTCCACCTTAAACCTACCTATTTCACTACGTTGACTCCAGGGTCCACCAATCCTTAAAATTAAACCTAGATCTACATGTACTTATTTCACTACATTGACCCCAGGGTCCACCAATCCTTTTAATTAATTAAACCTAGATCTACTGTTTTCACTACGTTGACCCCGGGGTCCACCAATCCTAAATTAAACCTATATCTACTTATAATTTCACTACGTTGACCACAGGCTCCGCCAGTCCTACTATAAAATAAACTGAGATCTATACTTATTTCACTATGTTGACCCCGGGGTCCACCGATCCTTAGTTAAACCTAGATCTACTACTTATTTCACTACGCTGACTCCGGGGTTCACATCCTAAAACCTAGCATTTTGTTAGGTAGACCCCGGGGTCCACCTATCCTTTTGGCTAGATAGACCCCGTAGTCCGCCTTTCCCCTTTCTTGATAATAACTGAAAACAATACATGCCAGTTGTCATGAATAGTGAAGAAAAATGCGGGGGAAAAAAGACAATGAGGTAGACTATAATTTGTCAAAAAAATTGCGAGTGCAAGTGAAGATCATAAAATAATTTTGTTATTTTCTGGTCATCTTTCCCGGTTTATAAAAAAAACATTCCAGTGGGCCTACTACTAGATCTATGTCTCTGAAGAACATTTTGCTTGCCTTTATTAGCTTTTTTCATGTACATGAAAGCATAGAATATATAGTTTCACACATAGATATGCACAATACTTTGAAAAAGAAAGATAAGGTCATTGTTGTTTTGTTTTTTTACGGAATCCATTTTACGTTGAGAAAAGCGCTAAAAACAAGTTAAAAAATTTTAAGAATGCCCATAATATTAGTATTAGGAATCTGAAATTACTACCTAGTTGGCTTACTCTTTAATAACCATGAGCAGTTAAGAAAAAAAAAAGACAATGATATAGGATTTGTCTAAATAAGACCATTAGCAATAAAGATATTGCCCATTTTGTCCAATTATCCTTGCAGGTAAAATCACCCTGCACTGTACCTCAATAAGCACAAAAGGAATATGTCTGTGACTTTGTATAAATGTGTGGCCTAAATAAGGTAAGGGAGGGGGGTTTAGCTTATTAAGGCCATATGTGGCCTAAATAAGGTCACCCAAATTAAAAAAGTCAATTGTTCTGCCTCAGTAGTACGAGGGATATCTATCTAACAAAGATAAAAAAAGAAGGGAAAAAACAAAAACGGACCGCAGGCACAGTTCAATGGATGTGGGATTTCGAGTCTTCTGTGTTTTGTAGTTTTAGTAGAGGTTTTTATTAATATTAAGTTTAGTTTTAGTACGGTTTTACGGCGCTCGCAACTGCCTAAGGCCATATGAGCGCCAAGGGGTGGATGTCAAAGGAGAAGTTCAAATGGGGAATCAGACTTACTCGGCTCACATCTCTAGCCTCAACAGTAGTAAAAGTCTACTTCTACCATCAAGGCACCCCGGTTATCGCTGTTCACAAGAGAGTGACAAACATACAAAAGAAGCAGAGGAAAAATGACGATAGTAAGGATGAGGAAAGAAAAAGCAGCAGTCCCCCCTATGTTGTTCCGGCACAGTAGGAGCATGACATTGATAAACCAACCCATTTACAATTCTACTGTGCATAAGAACATGTAAACATCCCCTCTTTGGGAATGGCCCAAAGACACTGCCATTCCATAGTTCATTGGGCGGACACATGTGTCCGTGTGGAACAAAAGTGATTGTTTACCTAGATTAGCTATAGAAAACAGCAGTTGTGAAAAACACTACTCACGATTTCCACGACAGTTTTGACAATACATTGAGTCGCTAAAGCTGTAATAATGTTTAAATTTGTCAGAAAAGACAAATACATATTATGCTTTCCTCAAACGTTAAAAATGTATTATATCAGGAGCGGGGCGAGGATTTTTAAAAATGAGGGGTCCAAAGTTGGTTTAGCCATGGCAATCAAAGTTTTATGATGAATAATGCATATTGTTTGCTTAAATAATACATTTACGTATAATATTTGTAAAAGGGTGCTCTGTTACACTGTCATTTCTAGATATTATATATCATTACTAATTCAATACAGGTTTTACAGTAATCATGTGCTGAAAGTTGGACAAATTGTAAACCTCCTCAATTTTTTTAGATGAACCACCACATTCGGCAACAATTTTGTTACAAGCTATAGTCACTTGGCTCTCATTCATCTGTACCGAGATTTAGCCAATGGCACAGTTTGGATTCATATTCTTCGGGAATTAAAAAAACATGTATATCGGTACCAAAACTGCTAGCTTTACTTTACCGCTAAGCCTGCAAGCGGCCGATAAACACAGGTCTACTCTTTCAGACATGAAAACTTCTCTGAAAATGCAGAAATTTTAACCCTCTGACTTAAATTTGCCATTTTTTCAAGATTATGAGCAAAGTGGGGAATACAGGGAATGGGGAAAGCAACACTATCAAATACCCGGGGTCCGAAAAAAGTCACCAGTGGGCTGGCACTGAGACATAAGACCACTGTCACTAGTGGGCTAGATCTAGACCGCGAGTCCACCAACACAGAGACATGAGACCACTGACACGGGTAACCAGATGTGTATATTTTGCTGCAAGTGTGTTGTGTGTGTATATGTTGCTGTGTGTGTCTAGCCTGTGTGTAGTGTGAACACACGTGTTGCTGTGTACATCTAGACTGTGTGTAGTGTGTACACATGTACTGCTGTGTGCATCTAGCCTGTGCGTAGTGTGTACATGTGTTGCTGTGTGCGACTAGCCTGTGTGTAGTGTGTACATGTGTTGCTGTGAGCGACTAGCCTGTGTGCAGTGTGTGTGTGTGTTGCTGTGTGCATGTAGCCTGTGTGTAGTGTGTACACACGTGCTGCTGTGTGCATCTAGCCTGTGCGTAGTGTGTACATGTGTTGCTGTGTGCGACAAGCCTGTGTGTAGTGTGTACATGTGTTGCTGTGTGCGACTAGCCTGTGTGTAGTGTACATGTGTTGCTGTGTGCGACTAGCCTGTGTGCAGTGTGTGTGTGTGTGTGTTGCTGTGTGCATCTAGCCTTTGTGTAGTGTGTACAGATGTGTTGCTGAGTATATCTAGCCTGTGTGTAGTGTGTACATGTGTTGCTGTGAGCGACTAGCCTGTGTGCAGTGTGTGTGTGTGTGTTGCTGTGTGCATGTAGCCTGTGTGTAGTGTGTACACACGTGCTGCTGTGTGCATCTAGCCTGTGCGTAGTGTGTACATGTGTTGCTGTGTGCGACAAGCCTGTGTGTAGTGTGTACATGTGTTGCTGTGTGCGACTAGCCTGTGTGTAGTGTACATGTGTTGCTGTGTGCGACTAGCCTGTGTGCAGTGTGTGTGTGTGTGTGTTGCTGTGTGCATCTAGCCTTTGTGTAGTGTGTACAGATGTGTTGCTGAGTATATCTAGCCTGTGTGTAGTGTGTACATGTGTTGCTGTGAGCGACTAGCCTGTGTGCAGTGTGTGTGTGTGTGTTGCTGTGTGCATGTAGCCTGTGTGTAGTGTGTACACACGTGCTGCTGTGTGCATCTAGCCTGTGCGTAGTGTGTACATGTGTTGCTGTGTGCGACAAGCCTGTGTGTAGTGTGTACATGTGTTGCTGTGTGCGACTAGCCTGTGTGCAGTGTGTGTGTGTGTGTGTTGCTGTGTGCATCTAGCCTTTGTGTAGTGTGTACAGAAGTGTTGCTGAGTATATCTAGCCTGTGTGTAGTGTGTACAGACGTGTTGTGTGCATCTAGCCTGTGTGTAGTGTGTACACACGTGTTGTTGTGTGCATGTAGCCTGTGTGTAGTGTGTACACAAGTGTTGCTGTGTGCATCTAGCCTGTGTGTAGTGTGTACACAAGTGTTGCTGTGTGCGACTAGCCTGTGTGAAGTGTGTACATGTGTTGCTGTGTGTGACTAGCCTGTGTGCAGTGTGTGTGTGTGTGTTGCTGGGTGCATCTAGCCTGTGTGTAGTGTGTACACATGTGTTGCTGTGAGCGTCTAGCCTCTGCGTAGTGTGTAAATGGGTTGTGTGTGTAGCTTGTACACACGTGTTGCTGTGTGCGTCTAGCCTCTGCGTAGTGTGTAAATGGGTTGTGTGTGTAGCTTGTACACATGTGTTGCTGTACGCGTGTGTTACTCACTTGTATGGTCTCCCCGGCGTGGGTCCGCCTCCTAGAGTCGGGAAATCTTCCTCGCTGTGCAGGTTCGGCGCTTCCTTCTTCCTCCTGGACGGGAAACTGGGAGAGGAGGAGGAGGCAGAGGAGGCAGCCAGCCGGGCGCCGGGAGGCACGTACTTGCCGGGGACTTTTGGCGT